ATATATATATATATATATATATATATATATATGATATAAAAAATAATGGGAAAGTACTGCCCTAGACTAGGGTAACTCGATTCAGAGAAGAATAGTGTGAGAGATTTCTCATTGCCATTTCACACCGCAGTGCCCGAAATAGGTTATTTTCAATTGGAAACATATTTTCATCTAGATTTTCGATTGAAAATGGAAAGATTGTCCATACAAGTCCATACAAGTCTGCAAGAGTAATGGTTAACATTACACCATAGAACACCCAATTATTTAATATTTACAAACAAAAAAATAAAGAATGCGATGTAACGAACAAATAAAGTTCAATTTCTGAGCCTGTTTTCAGACCAAGTTTCATAGTAGTTAGAATTCAATATGCATTCACAAAAATATTCTGACGCTGAAAGATACTTGTTAGAAACGCAAATCTAAATGTTTTTTAATCGATAATTTACTATTTTAATTAGTAAAACCATTGTGAAACGACATTCTTAACCAAAATGAGGAAAATTCCAAAGAGAACTTCAAATATAATTTTGACACTTTGTTCAACATTGGATCTGTCCTTAAATTTCTTATAAGGGCACATGAGAACTGTTACGCGCGTACGAGAAGATAAGCAGAAGGTAATAAAAAATAATTGTAGGTTCTGGACCGGACCCCGGGTCCAAAATAATCTGTTAATCATCAACTACTAAATTTGCGGATGAGCCGTTAGAACATGCGAATATTATTCACTCATTGATAATTTATCGTATAAACTTCGAGCGCATATGATCAAATATAATTTGTGCCGTTTGTCATTCATCATAAGTCCTTCATACCAGCAACACTATATGTTCGTGACGATGACGTCGAACCCATGATTTTATGCGTTGCACGAACGGAGACAACAAATTGTAATGTTCTGACCTGGTAAAGTTTCAAAAAATCAGAAAAGTCTGAGTCGAACGAAGGTTCCGTACGATTAGCTACTTATCAGGATATAATAACATCCATAAACTGATGAAGCCATTGTATCATAAGCGTATTGCTGGAAGTTCTCCAGATACAGTCAACCCTCCGATAACGCGGTTTGTCTGTACCGTGTAATATTAAACCCGTGCTATAAGAAACTCGGATTTAACGTATCCGAGGCTAATTCGTAGTGCGTTCTATGGAAACCGAAATCAAAATTAGTACAAATCACAGTATTTATATAATTATAATAATTTATAATAATTATAATCATTTATAATAATTAGAATTGATAATATATATAGTTATATATGTACGTTTGCATGTATTATTTTTTTTACACAAGTAATTATTTTTAAAAAGAAAGCTTCCAATTTAGAAAAATAAAACTACTGGTGTATGGCATCGTGACTTAAGGCAAATTGCTGGAACTTCCCGTACCGTAACGAAATATGCCCGAGAAATATTAAATGTTTTCATATAGATTATTATAAATATTAAATACTATAGAATTGTCTAATATTTATAAGAATTATATAAACTGAATTACAAAGTTAAAATTATTTATTTAAAGTATATAAGTGAGCTTTAGAACTTTAGCCAAAATTAAAATTAAAATCTGCATTCTTTTCGATATACAAAAAAATTTTTTTTGAGAAAAAAAAATTGGAAAAAAATTATTTTAAATTTTTTTCAAGAAGCAATTATATTGCCATAACGAGCAGAAAGTTTTTTGAATCATTCAAATCGGATGCTCCGTTCTCTCAAAAACTCGATTTCTATTTTCCTATACATTACAAGATACATTAATGTAAAAAAAACTTTTTTGTTTTATTTGAAGATTAAAAAATCATTAAAAATTTCAAATTGAAATTTTGATCAGTAACATTGAAGAAAAAATTAGAAGAACATTACAAGATACATTAATGTAAAAAAAACTTTTTTGTTTTATTTGAAGATTCAAAAATCATTAAAAATTTTAAATTAAACTATTGATCAGTAAAATTGAAGAAAAATGTATCTATCAGCTAAAGTTCCTCAAATCAACCATACATAAAATTAGTGCGCAAACGTGAATTTGAAACTAAAATTTATACTTCTACCGAAAAAAAAACTTTTCTGAACTTGAAAATTATGCAGTTACTTGAAAAATGTGGAAAAAATTATTGCTTTTGTTCATGGCAAAAAATATATTAAAAATATTTATAGTTATTCAGCAATTGGAAATAAAAAATAATAATTCAGAATAAACTTTACTTTTTAATTTCAGTTTTATTTTTACATAAAAATTTATCGTATCAACAACAAATTGCGACTTGTCAAAAATCGATTAACAGATATTAAGTTGAGAATCGTGCTGATTAATTAATGGCAAAAATCGGCCAAACCGTTTATCCGCTATTAGATATTACAATTTTTCGCGTTTTAAATGAAGCTTAACATGGAACTAGTGGGGCCCATGGCATCGTGCCTTAAGACAAATTGCTGGAACTTTCCGTATCAAAAATTATTATTTTTTTATAAACGATTAACATTTGTGAAAAAATTAGATTTTTGAGAAACTATAAATTTGACAAAAAATTACTTTTTTTTGAAAAAAAAATTTTTGTTTGAAAAAAATGTTTTCCTTATTTTGCCATATTTTGGAAATTCTGAACTTTTTAACAAAGCAATCGTACTGCTTTAACTGCTAGAGACAAAATATAAAGCGCGTAAGCGCCGCGTCGCTGTCTAACGGATAAACATTGGTACGGAACCCATAGGAACGTAAACAAAATTTATACTTATTATTAAAACCTCTACAAAATATCTGATAATTTGATGTGCATATGTCTAATGATCATTTTTGACCGCCAAATGGCATTTTTTTACTTTTTTCGTTAGATCTCCGAAACCGCTAGACCTGCCCCATGAAATATGGTGTATGTATGTATATATAATATATACATACATACACCTATATCCCGTTTTACACAAAAATTATTAATTTTGCATTTACACGAAATTATAAACCCTAAACTATAATTGGCTTATATCTGCAATAGTATAATGCTACAGTTATGAATTCTTAGTTGTCAATGTCTATGATGGAAATTTGTAGATTAATATGGGAATTTCCCTATTTATGATCAAAACTAAATTTTATGTGTGGATAAGGTAGTTTGTTTAAAACATAAAAACAAAGAGCACATCATTGTTTTTAAACTAAGTTTTAATTAGTGTTTATATATAATTGATAGCGTAAATTTATTTAAAGTAGACAAATAACAGAATCAATTTTCACAAAATCTTTAATTTATGAAAAAAATTATAGTTCCACAATGGCAAAATATGAAAATAAAAAGTAGAGAGTATAAGAAAGGTTATTATATCTGTATAAATCAATTTTAATTTTTATCTATAGCAAAATTGCAATATTCAAAATATTGAGATAAATTAATTTTGTTATAATTTATTAAATATGTTTGATATTAAATAAATTAATATTTATGTTTGTTATTCATCAATTAAAAAGTGACAAAAAAGACTGTTTTATAGTGATTTTCGTTTAGCATGGTTTTTTCATAATAAAGTGAATTTTTCGAGTTACAGTTTTTTTTTCTGGAACGTATCTTGTTGTATATATATTTGTTTACATAATCAAATAATACTATTATATATATTATATTCAATTTTGTAAATAAGACATTGAAGTCTTAATTTAAATAAATACACTAATAAATTACAACTATATAAATATATATATATATATATATATATATATATATATATATATATATATAGTAATTTCTAGTTTTAAAATTTGTTTGAAAGCTAAAAATTACATTATGTGAAAAAGTATAACAAAATTATTTGATGATACAGTGAGTGTTATCTCACATTAGTTATAAAGGTAAACAACGGTGTTGTCTTTTTTCAATTTCTCAATATTTTTTTCCTTTTTAAATTTAAATTTGAATTTCGATTTTCATATTCATTCATTTTATAATATTAGTTTGAATACTCATTTTCTAGAAACATTTTTGACAGATATCCTGAGGATGGGACGTATATAGTTTCGATACGTCGTTAATAAATGATATATGTACACTTTCAAGATAAAACATGTTTTTTAATTTTACTTTTGATTCCTTGTTCGAAGCACACACATAAATAAATATAGGTATATATATTTTTTTTTGACAAAAAGAAAAAAAATACAGTTCCAAAACGTCGAAAATAAATATCTATTTTCAAAGAATATTTTTATTTTTATTTAGATTTCCTGTTCGAAAGACATATGTGTATATTATATATATATATATATATATATATATATGTATATGTATTTATATATGTATTGGTATGTATAATTTCTTCTTTTTATATATTTATATTTACTATCATCTGTGTATTTATGTTAAATGTTTTTTTAGATACTGAATGAACATCTAGTGTCGAAACGTATAATGGAATAAATAATTTTGTTATTTAATCTTTTTTTAATTCGACGGTGGGGCTGCAAAAATATTACAAATATATATATATATATATATATATATATATATATATATAAATATATGAATATATTATAATAATAAATAATAATATTATATATGATATATAAATATATATATATATATATATATATATAATCTATTTTAACCTTTTTTTAATTCGACGATTTGGATGCAAAATACTCCAAATATATATAAAACCAAAAAGTTTTTTAAGTGATTTTTATTTATTGCCGACGTTTCGACAGAGTTGTCAAAAAAATAAACTTGATTAGATATAAACAAACTATTACATTATTTTTCCTTAAGCATATTGTTTTGGTTTGTTTATATCTAATCAAGATCATGTTTCTTAACAAATGTTATGAAAATAGAACGTACTTAGTTTCGAAACGTCGATAATAAATAAAAATCAATTAAAAAACTTTTTGGTTTATCATTACATTTGGATTCTTTGTTCGAAGCCCTCCACGCATATATATATATGTATACAGATTTAACAGTTGACAGATAATCGTCACGCGAAAAGCGTCTAAGTCAACAACTTACAGTTTGATTAAACCCTGTGGCGGTTTAATCGGCGGCGCTTCCAGTGCGGCGCCTCTACAGATGACCGTAGTGTCGCCGCGTCGCTTGGGGCAGTGACAGGTGCTTGGCAGAAGGGCCCAAGCCGGGGAGGCACAAAGCGACACTGTCCCGCCGCCGGCCTCCGCTCCCGCCGGCAAAGTCGAATTGTTTGTAACGTTCCATTCCAGCGGCGCGACGGCCGCCGACGCAAATGTCATAACAACGAACGCGGTCAAAACCGCCGACAATTCCATCGTTCATAGCATTGCCACTCTTTGACACACACATGGACCTTTGATCAACACATGGACCGTAAGCACTGTCGCACACACCTGGATAAACGCACGTGTTTTTATTTGAAAGACCTAAGGAATGAATCGATGGAACGAAACAAAAAAAATTTAGAAACGTCTATCGGACGCATTCGCGACGAGGCAGATTTGAATCGCGTAACTGTCAGTTATCGTCGAGCACGACACATCGATTAATGATGCGGTTCGAAAGAACAGCGACATCGGCATCGCTAACTGAAGACGACCGCGTCGTGCGGACGCTGCGAGTACATTGGAGAACGCCCGTCCGTGTTGCCGTCGAGCGGCTACTTCGGCATAACATTGTGTTCGATTCGAGATGGTGTGCTGCGTGCTAATGTGTCGTCGTACGCTCCGCGAAGGGGGGTCGGCGTGACGTCACAGCGCTCCCACAGTACGTACCCACAGCCACAGCCACAGCCATAGCCATAGCCATAGTCACAGCCACAGCGGACGCCATACCGCTCGTGTACCGCTCGTGTACCGCTCGGCGTTCACTGTTTCCCGTCGTCTCCCGTCGTCTCCCGTCGTCTCCCGTCGTCTGCCTTCGTCCCGATTCGACTGTTTTCGCCGCTGTCGAGTTCAACGACCGTCGACGATGACGACGGCAACCGCATCTACGGCGCTCGCGAACGCGATATATATCAACAGGGGGCGGAAAACTTTATCAATCATAACGTTCTGGACACTCTGTCAGCGCTGTCAGGGATTTCATTTTTCTCACTCATTTGCATCACTCCGAGCGGAGAAAAAAAATACACTCGACAATATAGAGGGCTGTCGATTCAAGGTTAAACTTGACAGGATATAGATGGCAATCTCTTAATCGATAGTTATTATATATATATATATATATATATATTTATCTTGATAGTTTTTTGATATATATATATATATATATATATATATATATATATATATATATATATATATACAGAGTCGGTCCTGGGGTCCTCAGCGCCCGCATACAATTTTTGTTCTAGCGCCCCCCCCCCTGATAATTTTAACTGTTTTAACTGTTTATCATTGAAATTATATAAATATTATATTAAAGTAAATTTTTTAATTAATTTTTAATCATTCTAGATTTAGTACACAACTAGTGGTGAATGGCATCGGGTTTTAAGGCAAATTGCAGGAACTTCCCGTATCGTAACGAATTATTCGAAGAATGTTTTCAAATAGATTATTATAAATATTGTAACATTGTCTAATATTTATAAGAATTATATAAACTGAATTGCAAAGTTGAAATTATTTGTTTAAAGTATATTAGTCAGAACTTTAGTCAGAATTAAAAAAAAAATCTGAAAAAAAAATGTTTAATATTTTTTTTTACAAAAGCAATTATTTTGTTAAAACAAGCTGAAAGTTTTTTGAATCATTCAAATCGAACGCTTAGTTCTCTCAAAAACTGCTTTTTTGCACGTTTACCTCTGTATCTTCGAAATGGCTGGATCTGCCTTTGCCAAAAACTAATCACCTTTTCTCCCAACCATTACAAATTGAATGTTCTTTAGATCATTCAAATCGGATACTGCGTTTCTCTCAAAAACTCGATTGGTATTTTCTGCGCTCTTTGCTCCATATCTCCGCAACGGCTGGACCTGCCTCTGCCAAAAACTGATCAACACATCTCCCTATCAATAGGAATCGAATGATTTTTGAAACATTCAAATTGTTTGATCCGTGCGCCCAGATATACAAAACACACACACACATCTATTTTTTCTGAGGTATGCCAAAATGTTCAGAAACCCCTGAAAGGTGATGATATGCAAAAAAAAATCAATTTTGATTTTTGACCCATTACTATAATTTATCCTACAGGAAGATATAATATCTAAAAGTGTATAAAATCCATTGATTTTACTTTAGAAAATCGAGGCGATTCGCAGGTTGATCATAATCAAATATTTTTAAATTTTCAATTATTTTTAACGTATGTGCAATATTGATATTTGGGGTTAGAAACACTTTTCTCATTTATTTTAGAGATTTTATGCTATTTATTCTATTGAGCAAATCATGCCAAGAAAGCAAAAAAAAACAAGCCTTTCATTTTTTAACATTACACTCGTATTTCATGTTGGATTTTTAAAATTTTAATTTAATTTAATTTTTCATTATTTACAATATTCAAAATTGTATCGTTAACTTCTCCTGGTTGATATCGCAAGGACCGAATTGTATTCATCTTTGATTTCTCATCAGATTGTTGTTTTAAGGTGAAATTTTTAACTTATTTTCAAAGATTAGTAAAAAATGAATCTCACTAGATTCGGAAATGAAATTTATATGTATTTTAATTTTATATATTTTTAATATAAAATCAAGAATACTTAATAGGTTATAATAAACAATCTACCTTAACTATGGATAAAGAAACACGAAAAGCATTTAGTTTGCTATGTGATATCAGTAGAAACAATTAACCGGCTAATAACTAATAGCATAATTAGTAAATTCTGCTTCTGCATATTGTTAAACTACTTATTCAACTTTTTCTTCGTTTAAAGTTAACGTGGAATCGAAAGAAAATGATCTAGTGTTCAATCCCCAAAACCTGCAAAGCAAATGTGATAAATGGAAGCCAAATTTACTTTGGAACAAAAATTGTTGAGCTTTTTTATACCTAGTGGTGCCCATACTCTAAATTTAATTATTAACTATGCAGAAATAATACAGATACAAATATTATTAGTTTTTTTTTTCAATATTGTTCAAGAAATATGTAATTTCTTTGCACCTTTCACTAATCTTTATACAATACTTTTAAAATATGTTAAAAATTTAACTTTAAAACAACAATCTGATACTCTAGACCTGAAGATAGAACAATTCGGCAATATGATATTAATTAGGAGAAGTTTACAATGCAGTTTTGGATATTGTAAATAATGAAAAATTAAATTAAATTAAAATTTAAAAAATCCAAAATGAATTACGAGTGTTATGTTTAAAAATGAAATACTCGTTTTTTTTGTTTTCTTGGCATGATTTGCTCAATAGAATAAATCGCATAATAAATAAGTAAAATGTTTCAAAACCTAAATATTATTATTACACATAGGTGAGAAATAACTAAAAATTAAAAATTTAAAAATATTTGATTATGATCATCTACCGAATCGCTTCGATTTTCTAAATAAATTTAAAATCAATGTATTTGAGATTTTAGATTATATTTAATTTTTTATGTACTAAATCCAAAATGATTGAAAATTAATTAAAATAATTTACGAAAGTATTTAAATAATTTCAATAATAAACTGTTAAAACATTTAAAATTATTGGGGGGAGGGGGGTGCGCTAGAAAAAAAAATTGCATAAGAGCGGTGAGGACCCAGGACCGGCCCTACATATATATAGGGCAGATCGATTTGTATGGGAAATGAATTATGATGTCCCGTGCATTGACCCAAAGATTGGGTCAAATTTTAAAAAATCCTGTTTTGACCTATTTAGAGCGCCCCAATAGCGTCCAAATGTATAATGTATATAAAAAGCAATAATAGTTAATTGATCGATTACCGAGATATTTAAAAAATGATTGGACTACTAAAATGACTATTTAAAATAATGAAAATTTTGAGTTGTATGTAGTTGTAGTTATTTGAGTTGTAACAAACAAATACAAAACTGAAAAAAGTATATATTTTATATAATTACGAGTGTATATTATAAGTTCTTATAAATATTAATACAAAATGAAAACAAATAATAGTTAAACAAAAGAAAGTTAATAAGAAATTTGGCACTGCTTTTTTTATATAAGCTGATCGATATCAGCTGTTTTTTTTTTTAATTGTTCTTTATTATAATATTTTTGATATGTTTTACTCAGTTTTGATAGGTGGTAATTTTGTATCAATTTTATGGTTGAAATTAACACAGGTCCACAAAAAAAGTTGTTTGGATTGGGTGTGTGACATATGTTTTGCAATGTACTTTTTACCGCTGAAGATAAATCTATAGTCAAAATTGAGACACAAAATATGGAAAAACATTAAAAAACTGGTACAATATTCTGGTACTGGTACAAATATATATATTTTGCTGAATGAATTAATTATTATCCAGCGACTTTTCTTTTGTGGACCTGTAATTGTTCGCACACATATGTACTTCCAAAAAAAGAATTTATCATAATTTGATTTGCGTTTTTTTTTTCAAAACCGAAACTTTTTCAGCGCTGACATGAGATTTATAAAAAAAATCGATGTTTACTAAAAAAATACATTTTTAAGAGCCCGAGATTATCTATTTATAAAACTATTTTTTTCATTTGATTGATTTTAGATGAATCCCTAAGAAGTTATGATGGTCACCGCCATGACCGTTTTTTGAAACAAGGTCAACAAAAACAGCTATAACTTTGGGAATATTAATTATTTTTTTCTAAAATTTTTGTTACTTCAAGTCAAAACATTGTACAATAATGCCGTATTAATAATTTTGTAAAGAAACATCGTTTAATAACAAAAAAAATACTGAACATTCTCATTTTCCGTGCCTCCAAGTACCCCTAACCCCTTAAGCATTGCATCACTATTGACCTAACGTACTTTACTATTAAAAACACATCGCATATTCACGCTCTAAATTGTCAGGAAGTCTTTAAATTCACAACAATTTCACCCTCGCGACTTTATAATATTTACTTATTTAATTGATTTAAACTTAGAAATGCGTTGTTGCTAAGTTCTCGGATAAGTTCTCAACTTTTCTTGCAATATTAAAGCTTGTTAAACTAATATTTAAATTAATATTTATTTTATCAGGAAATGCTATTTCTGTAAACAACAGTTTTTGGCAGTATTAGACTGACAACAAAATTAGCCTTTACAGCAGTATTTGATAAAATATCTAGAAAAACTAGTTGGTATTGGTATTTTGCCTTGAGGCAAGTTACATGAACTTCCCGATATATGTAAATAATCGACTTAATCAATAAAAAATAAATTAATTTATGAGTAATTACAAGTATTCCGAGTCTATTTATTACACATAATTGAAAACGAACGAACACGTTGACTCGGAGTATTTTTTAAAAGGAAATTTTCAAAAATCAATAATTTTTATAATTGAACCAGTTTTCGTAGGATTTTAATCGTTTAGTATGTTAGTATCATACCAA